TTAGTTCATGAGCGGAAGATAAATCGCCAAGACAAGTAAGAGCAAGCAGTGCAGATTTCGCAGACACAAGCCTTGTAGATCACAATTAATTCAAGGGCTGTAGGTCGAGGAAAAGAAAACTGGAAAAGCAGACCAAGATCTGGCAGACCGAGATCTGACAGATTGGAGGAAAATTCAGCCATTGGAATTCAGAAGAGGTGGCAGAACAGAAATTATCAAGCTGCAGATAATAGATCCAAACTTGCAGGAAAGGCAAATATTGAATGCTTCAGATGTCATAAGTATGGCCATTATCGTTCTGAGTATCGTGCTAATCTGAATAGAGGAGAAAGTTCCAATTTTGCAGAACACAACGAGAAGAATGATGATTTCTCTCTATTCATGGTCTGCCATCCTAAAGAAGTAAGCAAGAAGAATGTGTGGTATCTGGATACTGGTTGCAGCAATCACATGTGTGGAGACAAATCTGCGTTTTCAGATTTGGATGAGTCTTGTCAAGACAAGGTGAAATTTGGTGATAATTCCATTATTGCAGTCAAGGGAAGGGGAAAGGTAAGCATTCGTGCCAAAGACAATTCAATTCAGACTATTTCTAATGTTCTGTATGTACCAGATTTGAAGTCAAATCTGCTTAGTCTGGGACAGTTTCAGGAAAAAGGATATGAAATCCTTATTAAAGATGGAGTTTGCCAAATTCGTGATTCAAAATTTGGCCTGATTGCAAAGGTCAAGATGACGGGAAATAGGTTGTTTCCATTATACTTGTAGACCACAAATCTGTCATGTTTATCTGTCAGATTAAAGGACACAGCTTGGTTATGGCATTGCCGATTTGGACATCTTTATTTTGGTGGGTTGAAAGCTTTGCAACAGAAGAAGATGGTAAATGGTCTTCCTCATTTTGATTCTCCTTCAGAAATTTGTGAAATCTACGTGGTCAGTAAACAGCACCGTGATAGCTTTCCTAAAGACAGATCTTGGAGAACAAAGCAAGTGCTAGATCTGGTTCATTCTGATTTGTGTGGACCCATAAATCCAACATCCAATGGAGGTAAACAATACTTTATTACCTTTGTTGATGATTACAGTCGCAAAACATGGGTGTATTTTTTGCAGACCAAGTCAGAAGCCTTAGCAGCCTTTAAAAATTTCAAAGTCTTGGTTGAGAATGAGGTTGGCAGATCTGTAAAGGTTCTGCGTACAGATCGTGGTGGTGAGTTTAATTCAAAGGAATTTGGAGATTTTTGTGAGTCC